GATTGCGCTGCACACACACATAAACTTGTTGTCAACGCTTCCCCGCAATTTTTATTAATAAAATAGCCTAGATACTAGATCGCTACATTATATTCCTCAGCAACGAGGTGATAAAATCACTGTTTTTGAAGTAATTGTTTGTAGAGAGAGATGCGCAGACGCAGCACGCAGGTACACACAACTGTCATCTCTCTCTCTCGCTCGCTCTCGATCGATAATTCATTGAAATACATGCTATAATTAATTCAAATAAATGTGATCTTACCACACTATTTCAGCTGTGTCTGATTTGAAGCTGGCAGAATGCTAGAGCTAACTGATGAAAATAACTGTAATTTTTACCCATTCGGTCAAATATTGTGCTGCAAAGAGCGATACTAGTACAATACTGTCTGCACTATCATGTATGTCTGCACTATGTTTGTACTTTCTTCTACACTGGAAGCTCCTGTCGTCAAGTCAAATTCCTTGTGTGTGTAAACATACTTGGTAATAAAGCTCTTCTGATTCTGATTCTGATTCTGATACTTTAACTTGTCTATAACTTGGCAAATGACCATGGAATAAGTGGGATAATCAACGGCTAGCCGTGCATTAAAGGATTTTAAATGCGCTTCGCGTCGGGCGGTTCTTTGCCACCACGTCATGCATTTAAAATCCTTTAGTGCACGGCTAGCCATTGATTATCCCTTACATAAAGTATTCCAGGTGGATATTGCAAATGAATGGTATCTTAAGTCATATTTATGAGTGGGGAACACAGAATTGTAGATAATGCACAAGTTGTGACATTGGAAGGGCTGTGTCAATGCGAAACATGGCGGACACTGATCTAAAATATAGTTAATATCATATCATCTATAATCTATAGAGAGATCAGACAGTGGAAAGCAAGTCTGTAGCGAATGGTGTTAAACACTCAAATTTCATGGTTTGCTACACATTTAGTTGTGATACCATATATAAATAAGTGATAGAAATAATAATTCTTTATCATTTTGAATCCAACTGTAGTTATTTGGGTTTGCTGTTTAGAATTATAATGCTTTTCTTTTGTTTATGTCTCAGACTCTGAATGCATGACATGTTGTAATAATGAACACACAACGAATGCCTGGAGGAACATGTTTCCCAGGTGCACTTGAAAGGCGCCATTACGACAGATGGCTGAAAGTATCTGCACACCCAACCAGATCAGACTAGTAAATTACAAATAAACATTCACACTCTCTGCAGAATATCATTAGCTGGGGCGATGTGATGAGTAGTTCAGGTAAGTATTGCACAGGAGGGCATTATTATCCTCCATCTGAGGTTAGAGTCAGGGCACCCAACCATTCCACACCTCCAATATCTGATTACTGCGCGTGTAATTATACGTGATGTTACTACCGGCAATCTGGTCTTTCTCTTTCATTAGGAGCCACCATCACGACTTAAATGGCTGACTCATCTGACTGTCTGTCTTTCTGCATGTGCACTGATTTTCATTTCTGCCTCCTAAATATCCCCAGCTAGTTTCTCAAGGTCTGAGCCTAATGTTTTTCTATGTTAACAGGCTTCCTAATACTAGGGATGTGCAAAAATATTCTTTTTCAAAATCAACTAATCCGTGGGTTGCCTGAATGACTAGACAATTATAATAATTTATATTATAATTTAGTTGGTTTAAAATACATTCCTTCTAGAACGTAAAGTAACAGAGTCAAATTCAGGGGTCTCAAGACTCGTTTTATCATTTTCATTATAAAGATCTCAACTCAAGTTGGACTCTTTTACCTTAAAGGGTTAGTTCATCCAAAAATGAAAATTAGCTTGTGTTTTACTCACCCTCAAAGCATGCTAGGTGTATATGACTTTCTTTTTTCAGACAAATCCAGTCAGAGTTATATTAAAAATTGTCCTGGCTATTCCAAGCTCTATCATTGCAGTCAGTGCGTGTTGCAGTTGAACAGTCCACAAGTCGTCAAATAAAGCGTGCGCATCCATAATAAAACGTGCCTCACACAGCTCCGGGGGGTGAATAAAGGCCTCCTGTAGTGAATCCATGTGTTTTTGTAAGAAAAATATCCATATTTCAAACGTAATAAACACTTTTCTCTCACTTCCGATATCTGTCATACGCGGAAGCCGTTCCAGTGGATGACGTAGGATGTTGGCGTTGTGTGATTAGTGACGAATGCGGAGAGAGAACAAAACAAAATGCCGGTCACGAATTAGAAGTAAACTGAGGATTTGCAAAGACAAATGTCGGAGGATTTTGATATGAACCAAGAGGAGACTGGTTTTCCTTTGCTAAAGTAAGGAAACTTTGCTTCCTTTGCTCCTACAAACAAACTCGCGAGACTAGCATACCTCAGAGGCGTGCGCTGCGCATACGTGCGGTGTCATCCATCGGATCGCCTTCCGCATATGACAGATACCGGAAGTGAGAGAAAAGTGTTTATTACGTTTGAAATATGGATATTTTTCTTACAAAAACACATGGATTCACTACAGGAGGCCTTTATTCACCCCCCGGAGCCGTGTGAGGCACATTTTATTATGAATGTGTGAGCTTTATTTGACTTTATTTGACTTGTGGACTGTTCAACTGCAACACCTGCTGACTGCAATGATAGAGCTTGGAATAGCCAGGACAATTTTTAATATAACTGCGACTGGATTCATCTGAAAGAAGAAAGTCATATACACCTAGGATGCCTCGAGGGTGAGTAAAACACAGTCTAATTTTCATTTTTGGGTGAACTAACTCTTTAACACACTTTAAAAAACAGTGTGAGGCATAACAGAATGCCAAAGACATCCATGTTCATGTATATGTAGTGGTGTGCTGCGCAATATATTTGTGGAAACCATGATATATCTTTTTCAAGAATCTTTGATGAATAGAAAGTTCAAAAGAACAATATTTATTTGAAATAGAAATCTTTTGTCTTACTCCACGTATCAATCGTTCTCATTCTCTCCTGTTTTTCTTCCAGTCAATGAAAGCAGTCGTTGTGTCAGAAAGTGGTGCCCCGGTGTTACATTACACTGTTTCAACTAAGTGTGCATGTGTGCGTGCAGAATCAACAGTGTTTTTGCAGTTGTGTGCATCTGTGTGGAGCTATGCAGGAACATTCATGCAGAAAGTACATGTCTGTGTGTTTCCCTGCACGATATCGTGATTCACTCCCTTTTTCTGTGGTGGATACTGGAACACACACAAAAGTCAGATTATAACCAGGAATATGTAGTTTATTCGCTAACATGCTATATCAGTTTAGCCAGTGATGTGTGTGTGTGTGTGAGGGAAGCTGAAAGGTTGATTATTAGCTAAGTGGAAATTGCAATCTTGTACATTAATCACCTTCTTTAACACCCTTTTTCTGGTCACTCTCTAATTCCCACACACGCACAGATAAATGCATCAATATATTGTACCAATAAGATCACAAATTAAAATGTAAATTTCTTCCCTTAAGGTCGAAGGAAGAACCTTTAATGACAATTGCTGTAAAACCACAGAGAAGCGACAGTATGACATCTCCAAGCTCACGTTACAAAAAACTCACTGAACGCGTTCAGATCATACGCTTTTGCAAAGAAACACACTTCATCATTTTAACCTTAAGCTACACACATGCACATTAGGTGATGATGTGAAAGACGGCGTGTTAACAGAGCTGATTTTTGTATTGTTGTGGTGATAAAGGCGGTCGGAGTGAGTGGGCACTAGAATAAAACGTCGATGAAATACACAGCACACAAAATGCAGAAGACAGAATCCACCATTTTCTGAGCAGAGAAACTCTCATCAAGGACAACCTTAGATGTCTACTCAATCTAACCACACACCAACCCATTTCCTTAGCAACCGTGACTCATTTCCCTAACTACAGGGCTGAAGGCAGTGCAGTACAGGCAGCAGAGCAGTGAGGTACATCGCTTCAAACAACAATGAACCTTTTCTGAGGGATTTCAATGGAGAAGGACTGTCGTTTTCTCGAGCTCTGCAATTCACATGTCACAGTACAGAGATACGTGTGTCTCAGTCGGGTCATGTGACAAAAGAGTGGAGCACCTGGACTCCTACAGAGCACAAAAACACACAGACTATATTCTGACCTTCAGGTGCGTTCAAACATAAATAGGCTCCTCACCATTTAAGAAATGTTATTCTAGAGAGAAAAACATCCACAGAATAAACACGAAAAAACCTGAAAAAGGATGATTTAAAGGGATAATTCACCCAAAATTGAAAAATGGACCTTAGTCCATATTGAGTTTTATATAGATTAAAACAAGGCTGTGAGGGAGACTTTACAATGGTACATACAGTATAAAGGTACTAGATCAAATAACTGTTTTATGGAGTTTTTGTCAACTGAAAGTTTCAATCAGTATGTTGTTAAACAATGCACTGAACATCCCATTGAACGCACTGTATTTCTACCCTCATAGCCTCATTTTCATTCCTGACAAACAGTAAATATGGCACTAAACTTAAAAAAATCTATTTGTTGAAGCCATTTAGCATATATTTCATTATGTACGCAACCTCATGTTGTTCCCAGAAGTATCTCATTTTCTTTCTTCTGTGGAGCTCAAGAGAAGATATTTGAAGAGCGTTTGAACCATTTTGTCCATACAATGCAAGTCAATGGGGTCAACACAAGAAGTGAATAGGCTAAATGATGACAGGATTTTCATTTCTGAGTGAACAAAAATCTAATTCCTTCAATAAAAAGAATGCATTGTGGACAACAGGGTAGGTTTTTCAATGTCTCTTCATAATTCACACCAAAGAGGAGAGAGAATTCCACATCAAAACCCAACCACAAATTTTCACCGTTACAAATACACCTGGCAAGCCCAATTCCACATGTGTGTAATAAAAAATGCAAAAGCATGCAACAACTGGCGTTCAACACGGGCTAAAGACAAACAAAACCAATACAAAAACCAACGCGACGACACACCCTCTATACAACGCATCACATCAGCAACTGAAATACCTCTTCAACAGCAAATGATCTTCAGAGAGAGCTTCAAGTGTCACATCCACTTTTAGGACAAAGAAACAAGAGCGTCAAAAGGGTCAAGAGTGGGAGAACTTCCACACAGTCCACACTGCACAGGGATAACGTCCACACCTCTGAGTCTCAGGATGAGAGCGCATGTGAAGGAGAGACAGTGAAAAACTGAGAAGACAAGACTAGACAAAACATTACATCAATGCTACGAGCAAACACACACTGCGAAAGAATGTTCAGAATGCAAGTGACACACGGATACCAATTCTCCACTACATACTATAATCATAATATTTTTGACATTATCATCTACTCTTTGTTTATATACAAGCCTTTGTGTCTGTGGGAGAAAAAGAGGGTTTTGGGGGGGGTTGTGTGTGAGAGGGGATGGGCAGAGGATATGCAACAATTAAACAGACCTGTGCGATCCAGCAGATAAGGGTAAAGAGGGAGGGAGGAAAAACAAAATGAGAGAATAAGAGAGGGATTATTGGAAAGACACCATAACAAAGACAACAGATATGCTTTTTTCTATCAGCTCAAGTGTGCTTTATATGAGAGGATCAGATGGTAAGACGTGGCAAATGAAATCACTTCTTCATCTCTCACAGGCCAAAGATCTGACATGACCTTGTATGATCTCAAAACCTGATGAACTCTTTGAAGTATTCAGCTTCATATTAAAGTCTCTTACATAGTGTATCATGACTTCAGATGTGGATTTTCAAGAGGATAAATGCCATAGACCTTTTTACGTAGTAAACTGCTACAGAGAATTTCAGGCTTCTAGAAAAATAACGTGCACTAGCACGTGGCCATTACATCAGAGAAAATAGACTAGTATGCAACATATTTTGCACATTTTGCATATTCTTTTCTAGAGAAGGTTTACCAAAACATGAATTCCACAATGTCACTTTTGCTATGGTAAATCTAGTGCAGCACACTTGTTTGGAGTACAGATGAACAAATGGGATATCTTTCTCTCCTGTCCAGTCTTATTGGAATCCAGTCCTCTTTCTTTGTCAGACATTTCTGAAGGTTATCCTAAAATGCACAGAAAAAATCAAAACAACATACACTACCGTTCAAAAGTTTGGGATCAGTAAGATTTGTTTTATAAGAATCAATACTTTTATTCAGCAAAAGTGACAGTGAACACGAACATTGTTACCAAAAAAATCTATTTAAATATGAAGAGTTCATTTGCAAAAACTGATAACTCATTTTTATATATTTTTTTAATTTTGTTTTTTTTATTGCGCATTCCAAGTAATATCAATCAAACTGCAGTTGGGTTGTTTTGATTAAGTAATAATAACTTAACAGGTCATTTACTAAATTAAAGTTCATTGAAAGTATGTTTTTTTACATATTAAAGGGGTCCTATTATGCTTTCTCACTTTTTCAACTTTAGTTAGTCTGTAATGTTGCTGTTTGAGCATAAAAAAGATCTGCAGAGCTACAAAGCTCAAAGTCCACTTCAAAAGGAGATATTTTATTTAACAGAAATCACTTTTCAAAAACTACAACAAACGACTCGTTTGGACTACAACGCATATTTTCTGGGATTTGTGATATCACAGATATTGACGAATGGGACGAGACCTGGTTGAGCTGCACTAGAGAAGGCAACGAGTGTTATCACTATGTCGGAGACACGCTAGCTTTCCCAAGGCAGACGAATTTAGAGTGGTTACAATCATTCGGGTTTAAACCGCGCTCAAATTGATTTGATTTTGACGCAATATTTACACTGAAGCTCGCAGTGGTAAGTGGCATGATATTTCCCGACCAGGCACCAATCACAACACACACTGACCCAGCTAACCAATCACAGCACTTTTCGTATTTCAGAAGGCGGGCCTTCATTTGATACAGGAACTATTCGAGCCGTTCATGCCAGACTGGGGAGAGAGGTGCTGTAATAATGTAAAATATGTGAAAAATAATGTGTTTTTTGAAAAACCTAGTATGAGAGCCTGTTCAAGTACACCCCCAAAACTAAATCAAGACTTTGTAAAAGAGCATAATAGGACTCCTTTCAAAGTTTATTTTATAGCAAAAGCAGATAACTCCAACAGTCGTTTTTTGGCAAAAGCAGATAACTCCACATTTCATGTTTTAGAGTTTAAAAAAACACTTGTTTAATCTTTGTAATCTCCTCAGATGACAAAGTAGATGCCTGACAAACATTGTTGTTGTTGTGATCATAGACTGTATGGATGTGATTACACGCAATACACGGAGCTTTTCCCTCACCATTGTAACGCGCTGCTTTTGCAAGGTTCCGTGAAACCGTTTCAGCTTTTATTTTCTTTTTTCGCCCTGAAGAAGATATCACAGGTTCATCAAGTTTGTCGAAAATATCTATCCTCGATCACTTTTAGTCAGCTTTGACGAAACTCCTCTCAGCTAGCACGTCTTTTCAAAGTGAAAGTAGCCTTGTCACCTGACCTGAATACAGCAAGCTGATTCGTTAAAATGGACTTATCGGCTTCTGTTGAAAAACAACAAGGGCGCTTGTCGGCTTCTGCAGTAAAACATGAACTCGTGATGCCTTGAAAGTGGACAAAACCAGCTTTTTTGGCAAAACGTGTTTAGGGTTCAGATCTCGGTATATGTGGAGAATAATGCACGCAATCAGCAAATTTTTTTAAAGTGGCGTTTATCGGTTTTTGCAGATGAACTCTTCATATATTCTGTTCTTTTTATCTCAAAGAATATTCACAGAATCTTAAGGCCGGGACACACCAAGCCGACGGTCGGCCGTTGGCTAACGTCGGGCCGACGGTGAGTGACAGTTGGGCTAGTTTGTTTGGTGTGTTCCACTCGTTGGCTCTCGTTGGGCTCACATCGGCGGCAGTTTGCCCGATTCAACATGTTGAAGCGGCGTCGGGGCTGTCGGGACCATCCGCGAGAGTGAGAACTCTGATTGGATGTTCAGATTATCAAACAAGTCACTGCCCGAGAATTAAAGCAAAAGTGATGAAAACAAGCACATAAATGAAGGCGGTATAGACAGAAGGCTGTTTAAAAGTTACATGATCTTTCCCAATCATTCTAATACGCAAATGTTTTCATAACAACATGAGCCGCTTACAATGATTAAAGTTATCAGCGTTACTGATATTCAAAATGGTAAGCAAGCCTGCTTTGTTTACGTTTCGTATATATCTGCGTTTATCTCGTATATCATTGTTTCGATTTCTCCTTTTGAATGAAGAATATATAGTATTGATAGCTGTTGATATAGACAGTAATTCCTCTCACGCATGCGCAGAACGCACATGCTAGTTCGGCTGTAGTCTGTACGGTGTGTTCGAGCGCAGTTTTTTGGTCCGACACTGCCGACGGTTTTCGAGCACAGCTTTTTGGTCCGACGCTGACGACGCGAGGCGACAACACCGTCGGCAATCCGATCGTGAAAAGACCAGGTGTAAATGCCCTCCGAAACGCTTTCAAGACGGATTTAAATCCGTTTCCTCAAACCACTTCAGGAGGTGGTCTGAGACACATTCTAGATGAAACTGGACAAGTGTAAATGCATCTGGTTGATGAAACCATATATGTAAATTTTACTCCTCCCAAAATGTTCAAATAATAAATGTGTGCGAGAGCATGTTATACAGTGGGTATAAAAAATAATCCCCCCCCCCCCCCTTTAAAATAGTCAAATTGTTTTTGCTTTGCAGCCTGAAATGAAGACGGACACAGTTTTTGTTTTATCCAGCTGTATTTACTCAGTGCAACTTCTAACATCCAAGTGAAAGATATAACACCAGCATGTCAGAAAAAAATAAAGAAATACAAAACTCACTGAGTTGGAAAAAGAATCACCCCCCTCCTAAAAATGACTTGTAAACTCATGGGAGGCTAATCACTTTCTCAATGGCACACAAAGCCATTTGACTTTCAACTGTGATCAGCTGCTGTCATTTTGATCAGCTCAGCATGAAAAGAGCTTTCCTGGAGCATTTCAGTCCTTGGTAGTGCAACTGAAGTAAACAATCAACTATGGGTGGCAAGGCACTGTCAAAAGATCTCCAGGATAAAGTTGTGGACGGGCACAAGTCAGGAGATGGATACAAAAACATTTCAAAGGCTTTATCACTGCCTAGAAGCACATTGAAGTATATTATTAAGAAGTGGAAGGTTTTTGGTACAACACAGACCCTCCCTGGATCAAGACATCGCTCCAAACTGGATGAAAAAGCCAGGAGGAAACTGGTCAGAGAGGCGACTTGAAGCAGCTGCAGGAATTTATGACAAAGAGTGCTCATTGTGTGCATGTGACAACAACATCACAAATTCTCCACAGATGAGGCTTGTATGGGAGGGTTGCAAGTAAAAAGCCACTCCTCAAGAAAGGCCACATGCAGTCACGAGTCACGAGTGAGCTTTGCCAAAACACACCTTGAAGATTTTGAGGTAGATGAGACTCAAATTGAATTATTTGGCCTCAATACTAAACTATATGTCTGGCGGAAATCCAATACAGCTCAGCATCCAAATACCAGCATTCCTACAGTAAAGCATGGAGGGGGTAATGTCCTGTTATGAGGGTGTTTCTCTGCAGCAGGGACTGGAGCGCTTGTCAGGATAGAAGGAAAAATAGATGGCGCAAAATATCAACAAATTCTTGAGAAAAATCTGCTGCCCTCTGCCAGAAAGTTGTCAATGGGAAGAAGGTTTACCTCCAACATGACAATGACCCAAAGCACACAGCAAAACTGAGCACACAGTGGTTGAAGCAGAAAAAGCTGAATGTCCTTGCAAGGCCTAGTCAGAGCCAAGACTTAAACCTCACTGAAAATCTGTGGAATGACTTGAAGACTGCAGTCCACAAACAGTCCCCATCAAATTTAACTGAACTTGAGCAGTTCTGCAAAGAAGAGTGGGCAAATATTACAAAGTCTAGATGTGCAAAGTTAGTAGACACATATCCCAACAGACTAAAGGCTGTAATTAAAGCAAAAGGTGGGTGATCCTCCTTTTTTTTGACATGTTGGTGTTATATCTTTCACTTGGATGCTATAAGCTGCACTGAGTAAATACAGCTGGAT